GTGGGGCATTTCTACTCTGTCCTGTAGGTGCACTCTAAGTCAGAAGCAACTGGACAGCAATGGAGCTGGGGGGCGTACAAAGATCCTGCAGAGCCAGGCTTCTCTGTGATGCCCCTGGGCAACCCAGCGGGCTTGTAAAATGCAGAGTAGATACTGAATGTCTAACACGTTCCCAGGTGATGCTGACAGTGTAGGTCCACAGGCTTAGTTCACCCCCATCACACACACACACACACACACACACACACACACACACACACTCAGAAAAGGCATAGAGATCTCCAAGAAATTCCCCGTCTAGCTAGCTCCACGAGGGCCCATGCGGGGAGGTGTCTGTGTGACATCAGTGAATGCTGAAGGGGGTTGGGGGAGAAACGGGCTCACTCACATGTAGGTCTGTTAAAAATACGAGTGCAATAAATGGAGACTGAATCAAAATATGAGGTGGGGGTGTTTCAAAACATTTGGGGGAACATGCCGTTACCTTTCAATTCCCGCTGACTCCTCTTCCAGTGGGTTTCGGTTATTCTATATGGACTCAGTTTCCCATGGATAGGAACAAGTGGGAGGGCGTTGAGAGCAAAGGAGGCCGCCCCTGTCACTCTTGGGCTGCATGTAAAAGGAACCCACACTAAGCCCCTCTCCATGGAGTCCGGACGCCCCCTCCACCAACCCCACCACCCATGACAGCAGGCCCAGGTGTGGCAGAGCAAAAGCATCAGGTCTGTGTGGAGGCAGCACCCTCAGGGTGGGCTCCAGGGGCCCCGTTAGGTCAGCAGAGGGGCTTCCAGCAGGCTCATGGCTGACCCGCAGGCCCAAGCAGCCTGTGCCACCCACAGAGCTTGGATGAAAGGACTCTGGGTAAGTCCTGGTTGATCACGGCCTGATGACCCTGAACTCGCGGTTGCTGTTCATGATATTCACATTTCCCCTCATGAACACAGGGCCCTTCTTCCCGTACAGTACAGTCTTGCTGCTGAATCAAATCATGATTAAACCTATGAAAAACAACAGCAAAAGCATTGTCCTTGCGTGGATTGCAACTCACAGCAACTGTTACAGGGCAGAGTAGAAACTGCCCCACAGGGTCTCCCAAGGTGCAATTTGCACGGAGGCAGATTGCCTGCCCCATCTTTCTCCTACTGAGCCGGAGCTGAGTTCAAACCGCCGACCCTTCTGTTAGCAGCTGAGTGTTTAACCAGGACACCACTAGGGCTCAAGAGGGTAAGTAAACCGGCTTAGGAAAGAGGAGGAGACGTGGGATGGGCGCGATGCGCTCTTTGCCGATCGGTTTCCTCACTGCACTCTCTCCCGACCCACTGCAGCATCAACCACGACCCCAGTCGCGTCCCTGTGGACCTGCCGGAGGCTCAGTGCCTGTGCCTGGGCTGCGTGAACCCCTTCACCATGCAGGAGGACCGCAGCATGGTGAGCGTGCCCGTGTTCAGCCAGGTGCCTGTGCGCCGTCGCCTCTGCCCGCAGCCACCGCGCACCAGGCCCTGCCGCCAGCGCACCGTCATGGAGACCATCGCCGTGGGCTGCACCTGCATCTTCT